CAGACAGGGTGCCAGAGGGGGCCGCCGGACACGGGAGGACAGTAGGAGAAGTGAGCAAGGACAGGACCCCCAGAGGGGTCTGCCAGAGAGACTGCAACTGGCTGACCAAGCGGCGTGAGTGTGTTGCGGTCTCGAAAGAAGGAGCGAGAAGCCCGCGAGTCAAGGGTGAAGGCGTGGGAGGCCGAAGCTGACGCGGTACCTGAGAGAGTAGACTCACCAGCACCTGAGGAAGCAAACGCACTGGCACCTAGAGCAGCAGCCTCACCAGTACCTAGAGCAGCAGTCTCAATGCCCGGGTCGGGCGGAAAGCACCGGTAACAGTCACCCTCATCACTAATAGTCACAGCATACATGGCAGCAAGAATAGCAACAAAGTCAAGGTCAAAGATAGCTACTCCCGCCCTAGACAGCTCGCCCCTAGCGAGGGATCTTAGTGGCCTTAGGGAACTGGTGACGCCAAGCGTCCGTAAGGCGGCCAAAGCAGGGCTGGGTGGAGTGCGCACCCCCACACTGCTCACCCGCGCGGTCGCCGGTGCGTAGAACGTAGGTGCACGGACCAGTACCCCAACCCCGCTGACGTGCAGCGTACCACTCACGGAGCTGCTGAGGGGGGGGGATGTCACGAGTGCGCTGCTGCTGCTGGCGCTGACCACCACCGGAGCCAACCCTCTGCGCAGCGCCACCCCGACCAGCTCTGCCGCCTCCGGCGCCGCTTCCTCCTCCGCCGCCGCCTCCGCCACCTCCGCCCCCACCGCCACCGCCGCATCCGCCCTCGCCTCCACTGCCGCCACCGACACCTCCACCCCCGCCACCACTCCCACCACCACCCCCACCCCCTCCACTGCCGCCACCGCCACCTCCGCCACCCCCTCCAGCCCCTCCAGCGCCCTTGCCCCCTTTGCCCTTGCCGGTGCGGCGTCTCCCGCTCGGGGCAGACGCAGCGCCGACCGACTCAAAACCAACGAGGCCGGCCGCAGCAGCAGAGGCAACAGAGGGCAAAAGGGGGGAGGGGGAACACCCCTCAAAGACGGGGGTGCGAGGGTCACCACGAGAGGCTCCTACAGCGACTATGCTCTTCTCAGCCGCTAGGAGGGCCTTCTCGAGGAGGTCAACGGTGAGAGTGGTGGGGCAAACTGAGAGGAAGTGGTCCCTAACTAAGCGGAGAGAGTCAGGGAGCCGAGTGACTATGTAGTAGAGGGTGATGTACATGGGGGGGGGGGGTTCTTGGCGCAGAACTCATCAGGAAGCGCAGCGCGGTAGCGAGTGTCACTAGTGCAGAGGTGCGTAATGAGGTCAGCGACTGTGGGAAAGGCAGCAAGGTGAGGGAAGAGGTACGGTAGGATGAGGCGGCTCAGTGCAGCAGTGGCAGGGGAGGAGTAGCGTGCAACTACAGCGTCGTACAAGGTCTGAGCACTCTTGTACTGGCTAAAGTGTGCACGCTAAGAGGTAGGAAGGTGGCGACGCACAGCAGGACGTGCAGCACCATCGCGTGTGGCCCACTGTGAACGAACAGTGGCGTTAGCATCAGCAGCAGGGGCAGGAGAGGCACCAGAGGTGAGGTCAAAGAAGGAGAGACCGTCTGCCCTATTGCACTGTAGGAAAAGCTGCAGGTCATCTACCCAGACGTCAAAGTCAATGGCCCGACCCTCAGCGTCAAAAGCGAGGACACTAGGGGTAGCCATGACAGCAGTAGACTAGCAGCGCGAACAGTAGGGTAAGGGCATTGCACTGATAGAGGCGCTGCTCTTACCGGACAGGGCGGCTTGGGCGGCTTGGCGGCTCGGCGGCTCGGCAGGAAATGCAGCTCGGCGACTCGGCGGCTCGGGCGACTCGGCGGTACGGCGGCTCGGCAGCAACTGCGGCTCAGCGACTCGGCGGCTCTGGCGGCTCGGGCGGCTCGGCGGTACGGCGGCTCGGTAGCTCGGCGACACGGCGGCTCGGGCGGTTCAGGTGGCGCGGCGGCTCGGGTGGCTCTGTGGCTCGAGCGGCTCGGCACTAGCTCGGCGGCGCCGGCGGCCGCGTTGGGGACGGCAGCGGGGCCGGTAGAGGCGGCGCCGGGGCCGGGAAGGGTAGCGCCGGGGCCGCAGGGTAGGCGCTGGGGCCGCATGGTAGGCGCCGGGGCCGCGGGGTAGGCGACGGGGCCGCAGGGTAGGCGAGGGGGCCACAGGGTAGGCGCCGGGGCCGCAGGGTAGGCGACGGGGCCGCACGGTAGGCGCGGGGGCCGCAGGGTAGGCGTCGGGGCCGCAGGGTAGGCGACGGGGCCACAGGGTAGGCGCCGGGGCCGCAGGGTAGGCGGCGGGGCCGCAGGGTAGGCGACGGGGCCGCAGGGTAGCGCCGGGGCCGCAGGGTAGGCGCCGGGGCCGCAGGGTAGGCGACGGGGCCGCAGGGTAGGCGTCGGGGCCGCAGGGTAGGCGCCGAGGCCGCAGGGTAGACGCCGGGGCCGCAGGGTAGGCGCCGGGGCCGCAGGCTAGGCGACGGGGCCGCCAGAGGCGGCGCCGAGGCCAGGAAGGGCGGCGCCGGGGCCGGAAAGGGCGATGCCGGGGCCGCAGGGGTAGGCGACGGGGCTGCAAGGGGTAGGCGACGGGGCCGCAAGGGCGGCTAGGAGGGAGGGGTCGCGAGGGCGGCTTGAAGAGGCCGCGAGGGCGGCACGAAAGGGCCGCTAGGGCGGCGCGACGCGAAGGAGCCGCGAGGGCGGCGCGACGGGGCCGCGAGGGCGACGCGACGGGGCCGCAAGCGCGACTCGACGGGGCCGCTAAGGCGGCGCGACAGGGTCGAAAGAGGGGAGCGCGACTCGGGCAGAGTAGAGCGCGCTCCGAGCAGGAAAAAAAAGGGTGGTGGGCCCTAGGAACAGTTCCCACAGGGGAACTTGCTCTGATACCATGAGAAAATGAACGCGAATGAATGACTAAGGGAAAGTTGGGTACAAGTACAAACCCTAGAAAGTCATACCCCATATGTGCTACCCCACTATAGCCTACAACAGCTATGTCATATAAATCTGACAGGGGATTGGGTTGAGTTGCGAGGGGTATGCATGGGGGACGGTGCCTTTCGAACTGTTGTACTTGTGAGACGGAGGGAACAAGGGCGTGGTGGAGGGACTTGATGACAAGGGGGGGGGGGGGCTGAAAGAGGTGCAGGGGACTTGGAAGGGAGGAGTGAGGGGGGGATAGACCAGGGCTAGTAGAGACGCGAGGGATTGGGGCGGTGGCTGGCGAGGGACTTGGTGGGGGTGCTGGTTTGGAGAGACGCGCTAGGGACTCGAGGGAGCAGGGGAAAGGGTAGAAGGGGAGGGGGGGGGAGGGAGGGGGAGGGGGGGGATAGAAGGGGGGAAAGGGGGCTACTACGGTACTTTCGCTATCTGTTACGAGTGCAATTGAGTGAACGAGCGAGAATTTCACTATCGAAGCAAGAGTACGATGAGCGAAGGCATGAGCGAAGGATATATAGCGAAACTACAGTGGTAACGGTAATGCGTGAAAATGGGGTGCGCGACGGGCCTGGCGCCGAGGTTGGGAAAGTGCCGAATAAGAGGTCCGGAGCGCAGGTTACCAACCGAACCGTGAGGTTGGGTCGCGTCGTGAACAGTGGCGGGAACAGTGGCGAGGCAAGTGTCGCGAGTGGTAACGGATTACTGTTGGGTGTTGTTGGCGGAAACAGTTGTGTACGCGCTGAGCAGGGACGCGAAGTAAGGAAAATGAAATTTCCTTACACTATCATATGACATCATACTCGGTGTCTGAAATATCAGACAAATTATAAGGCTTGGTCTTTTTTTTCCAGACGAAATAAAATCGTCCGTCTTATGGATCAGATGGAAAAAAACCGCAAGTCCAGAAAATAAGATGAAACGAAAAAATCAGGTCTGATTTTCATACCATCAGACCGATTTGGTCTGATAACAAGAGCCCTTCTTGTAGATACTTACTAAATTATCACAGCTTTTTCCTTACCTTTCCTTCCCCTCATTTTCTGAGCCCTACTACGTGATTGCTTTCTATTTTATATTTGTTCACATTACTTAACACAAATCTGTCACTGGACCACTGCAGAGAAGGTGAAACCGTTTATAGCGTATAGCTCTGGATTGACCCTCCTCCATCGCCCCTTGATGCCGCGGCACACCACTTTCCCAAGCTCATACACAATCCTCCGCATGCCCAAATCATTCAGCACGATCGACAAAGCATTTCACGACGGACGAAGCGATTCGCGAATCGATTTGCGACGGGCGTGACCGGAGGGAATGGCGGCGACGGCGACGGAGGACGTGACAGTGAAGGAGCCGCTGGATCTTATTAGATTGAGTCTCGACGAGCGAATCTACGTGAAGCTGCGAGGCGAGCGAGAGATCCGCGGCCGCCTACACGTACGTGTGCGCGCGGCGCGTGAGCTTCGAGATGTCCCGAAACGCGGCGTCATGCCCTACGCGTTAGCTTCCGCGTGGGTCTAACTTGATTTTCATCGCGTCCCTTGTTTTTAGATGTCTCGTGACTTTGACAACGCCCCAGGCGACAGCTCGCGACAACGCGACAATTGCGAAAGCTGTCCGAGTTGCCTTGAAGCCATGCTTTGAAATCAAACATGTCTTTTCTTGGTTTTGCTAGAGCTACTCTTCTTCGCCGAATCATCGAGTATAAACCGTTTCAAAGCGAAACGCGGGTAACTGTCCGCGTTACAGCGTCGTGACGCGTTAGGCCACTCGTTTCTTTCGCCCCCAGAGCGGGGAGAGCGGGGAGGGTTGCATGGGGCGATCAGGCGTGCAGTCCACCAACCACCCACCCGATTGCCCTCCCCTGCCTGCCCTCCCCGTATCCGCTTTCCCCTTCCGCATCCGCCCCAGGCGTGCAGGCATGCAAGCATGGGGTGATCAGGCGTGCACACCTCCACCCACCCAACCATGTGCCTTCCCCTGTCCTGCGCGTTCAAATCCTGCTCCCGTCTTCCCCTTCTCCCGCATCTAGCCCCTCCCTACAGATCCTCCACGCACGCGCTTCAGAATGTGCTTACCACTGCTTCGCCCTTGTGCCCCCCCTCCCCTATACCCCCCTTCTTTCCCCTCTTGCCACCCTTTCCCCTCCCTCCCCCTCCTCTCTTCTCATCCCCCCTCTCCCCCACCTTTCCCATCTCTTCCCATTCCCCCTTTCTTTCCCCTCTCTCCCCCTCTCTTTCCCTTCTATCTCCCCTCTCCTTCCCTCTCTCTCCCACTCCCCTCGCGGCACCCTCCTGCCAGGCACACGGCCACCATGCGAACATGTCACAGCTGGCGAGGCGGACGTGGTGGTTACCACTTCATCCCCCTTCTGCTGCCGCTCTCCCTCCCCCCCCCTTCTCTTTTCCCCCTCCACCTCCCCCCCTCGCACTCTTCCCCCCTCCAATCACCCCACGCCCCCGGCCTCACCCGTGCCTCTTGTACCTCTCGCTCCCCTCCTCCCCTCGCTCCCCTCCTCCCCTCGCTCCCCTCCTCCCCTCGCTCCCCTCCTCCCCTCGCTCCCCTCCTCCCCTCGCTCCCCTCTTCCCCTCGCTCCCCTCTTCCCCTCGCTCCCCTCCTCCCCTCGCTCCCCTCCTCCCCTCGCTCCCCTCTTCCCCTCGCTCCCCTCTTCCCCTCGCTCCCCTCTTCCCCTCGCTCCCCTCTTCCCCTCGCTCCCCTCCTCCCCTCACTCCCCTCCTCCCCTCGCTCCCCTCTTCCCCTCGCTCCCCTCTTCCCCTCGCTCCCCTCTTCCCCTCGCTCCCCTCCTCCCCTCACTCCCCTCCTCCCCTCGCTCCCCTCTTCCCCTCGCTCCCCTCTTCCCCTCGCTCCCCTCTTCCCCTCGCTCCCCTCCTCCCCTCACTCCCCTCCTCCCCTCGCTCCCCTCTTCCCCTCGCTCCCCTCTTCCCCTCGCTCCCCTCTTCCCCTCGCTCCCCTCTTCCCCTCGCTCCCCTCTTCCCCTCGCTCCCCTCTTCCCCTCGCTCCCCTCTTCCCCTCTCTCTCCTCTCCCCCTCGCTCCCCTCTTCCCCTCGCTCCCCTCTTCCCCTCGCTCCCCTCTTCCCCTCGCTCCACTCCTCCCCTCGCTCCCCTCTTCCCCTCGCTCCCCTCTTCCCCTCGCTCCCCTCTTCCCCTCGCTCCCCTCTTCCCCTCGCTCCCCTCTTCCCCTCGCCACCCCCCTCCTCTCGCCACCCTCCTCTCCTCGCCTCTCCAGGCGTTCCACCCGCATCCGACCTTCAACCTGCACGCCCTCGCCTCTCCGCTTCTTCCATTCCCATCTTCCCCCGACTGCTCTCCCCCCTCCCCCCAACAGCACTCTCCGCTCCCTCTCACTGCATTCCCCTCTCTTTCCCCACTTTTCTCCCCTCCTCCCTCCACAGAACCCACACTCACCCCCACTGCTCTTCACCCTCCCACTCGCACATTGAGAGTGACGTACCAGCAGTGATGGGAGTCATAGTGTGCCTGCACATTCCAAGTGTGTTACCACAGTTATTCCATGACATCATAACTCACCAGCAGGAGGGAACCCTCTCCTCACCAGGCGTACCACCAGCATGTGAACCGGATACCAGGGGAAAACCGCTTAAGGCGGTTACCAAAGATTTCTTCTCTCCATCCTTTTTTTTTTTTTTCCTTCCCTTTCCCTTCCCTTTCCCTCCCACCCTCAACCATATGGCCAGCCACCATATGGCCAGCCACCATATGGCCAGCCACCATATGTGCGCCCTCCCGCCAGGCATATGACCAGCATGTGAGCATGATAGCAGGCAAGGCAGAGGAGGTGGGGATCACAGTTGAGGCCACCAGTGGTAACCACTTTGAGAGATCAGCGTTATCCAGCCACTGCTCATTTCCCCCTTTCCTTTCCCCTCATAATTTCTTTCCCTTTTCTCTCTCCCCCCCCTGCAACCCCACCTCCCCTTTCCAACATCCCCCCTCAAACGTGCACGCATGGCATGGCAGGCGTACGACCAGCATCTGAACATGATTCTGGGGGAGGCGGAGGAGGTGGTGACCACCGTGGAGATAGACGACGAGACCTACGAGGAGATTGTCAAGGTGGGGGGGAGGGGGGGGTGGAGGAAGGGGGGGGTGGGGGGGTTGGAGGAAGGGGGGGGTGGGGGGGTTGGAGGAAGGGGGATTCTTTCGAAGCTCCTCAGAGGAGACGATTTCGCTTTTGAGAATTCTTACAAGTGAGGTCGTAGGCGCCTCGAAGGGCGGAGGAGGTGGTTACCACTGTTGAGATTGAGGATGAGGCGTGCGAGGCGATTGTGAAGGTGGTGGGGGTACACGCACGTGCAATCCCAGGGGTCGTCCCTCATGGCGATCCCAGGGGTCGTCCCTCATGGCGAAGAGAGGAAGGGATGGGGAAGGGAGGGGGGGGATGGGGAAGGGGATGAGGGATGGGGAAGGAAGACGGGGGATGGGGAAGGGAGGGGGGAAGGGGAAGGGGATGACTTATGAGTCCACTCAAAGGAGGTGCCCTCTCTCTGTGCCCTCTCTCTGTGCCCTCTCTCTGTGCCTTAACTATACCCTCTGTGTGCCCTTTGTGTGCCTCTGCCCTCCTCCTCCTCCTCCTCCTCCTCCTCCTCCTCCTCCTCCTCCTCCTCCTCCTCCTCCTCCTCCTCCTCCTCCTCCTCCTCCTCCTCCTCCTCCTCCTCCTCACAGCTTGTATCAGCCCTGCACGCGTTCACTCGCATTTCCCGCCCTCACCCTTTTTATTTTCCCTCCCCTTTCATGCACTCCATCCCAACTCCCCTCCCTTGCACCCCTCCTCTTGCCTTCTCAGCTTCCCCCAAACCCACCTCCCCCCTCATTCCTCACCTAACTGTGGCCCTGCCACCCCCAACACCCCCACCACCTTCCGTCAACCCTAACCCCCCTCCACCCCCCTCCATGCTTCCTCTGCAGACGTCAAGCTGCGGCATCCGCTACCACTCCTCACACCTATCTTCTCCTCCAGACACACACGCACACACACACACACCTCACTCCCCCCTCCCTTCCTGACCCCCTGCCCTGCAGACATCAAGGCGCAACATCCCGTTCATTTTTGTGAGAGGCGACGGGGTCATTCTGGTCTCGCCTCCACTGCGCACGTAGCAGCGGCAGCTCTTAGGACACAATCCATGCACCCATCCACCCATGTACTTGAGCCCATGCATCCATGCATCCATTCTCGTATGCAACCATCAACCCATGCACCATACGCGAACCCATTTACTAATTTACCCTCATCCCATGGTTGTGGGTCTCGAAGTGTCATCATCATGTGTTTTCAACAGCAGCAGGGAGCTGTTTCATGAGCAAGCCATGCATGCACAGTTACCGTATTGTTCTCCTGAGATGCTCTCTTGCAACCTCTACTGATGCTGCCTCAGCTGAGGATTTTACTTCACCCATGTACACTTCATGATCCTCTGGGATCCTCTGCTCTCAAGATCTTGATCAACATGAACTGATCCAGTATCACAATAACCCATGTGAGGAGCAGGGATGAAAGCAGGGAAAACAGAGCAGGGACCAGATCAGGGCAAACAGAACAGGGCACAGAGCAGGGCAGACACGTCAGTGAACATAGCATGGAAACAGTGCTGAGAACAGAGCAGGGAAACAGAACAGGGTACAGAGAAGGGGAACGGACTAGGGGAACAGAGCAGGAGAAGAGAGCAAGAGAACTGAGAAGGGAAACAGAGCAGGGAAACAGAAACGTGGAACAGAGCAAGAGAACAGAGCAGGGCAGCCATGCAGTGAGTTAGAGCAGGAGAGCAGAGCATGGGAATAAAACAGGGAAACAAAGCAGACGAGAGTGTGCAGGGGTACAGAGCAGGGGGGACATTGCAGGTTTAAAAGAATCACCTCTTTCATCGAAGTCTCGTACGTGCTGTCCCCGCCGGCCTCCCGCGCTAGTTGTCTAACTACCGCGTGCTCCAGGTGTTTCCGAACGATGCGATCTTCAACATTCTTCCAATTCGTGCCACGTGAAGGACGCTTCACAGTGGTCTTGTGGGAGTGCTCGTAACAGTTCGACGAGTACTCCGCGGGGATTCCCCGAAGACGGATGGTTGACGGGAGGTGGACGAGGAGATGAATTTTCACTATTTTCCACTTTGACTTCTGCTTAGGAAATGCAACACGCAGAGCCTTCACCATGCTGGGGAGAGACAGTCGAGAGCATGCATGCAGTTAAGGGGTGGAATGCAGGCCAGGAAGGGAGAAACGACACGAGGGAGGGGGGGTGAGGAATCATGCAGTCAAGGGAAAAAAAAGGGTTTAGGGTAGTTAAGCAGGTGGGGTATGGAAGAACAGGGATGCAAAGGGTCAAAACAAGATGAAAGGGAAGGGGGGGGGGGGGGGGGGAGAGCATGTAGGTACGGTTGATGCGAGGAAAATGGGTGTATGTGGCAATGAACGGCTTGGGAGCCCACACATCAACAAGAGTAACTACCTGATGGTGGCATCTTTCATCCGTTTCCGGGAATCGTCGGTGTGGTACTCAGCGCGAATAAACTCCTTGTACCACTCGACCATGAGCACGATTGCCGTCCGGACATCTTTCCGTCCTGGGAGATCGATGATGAGAGGCAAGACCTGCATCATCGCACGATGCTCTGAAGCTGAAAAGCAGGCAGTGGATGTAAAGTAGGCCCACGCCGAAGGCAGACGGAGCACGGAAGCTGGTGTGACCTCCTTCAAAATCTTGTATCGCCTAGAGAGAAGGAACGGTTCAGCATGGTGGAAAATGCAAGCAAGGAGGGGAGGAACGGTTCAGCATGGTGGAAAATGCAAGCAAGGAGGGGAGGAACGGTTCAGCATGGCACGGAAAGCAAGCAAGGAGGGGAGGAACGGTTCAGCATGGCGCGGAAAGCAAGCAAGGAGGGGAGGAACGGTTCAGCATGGCGCGGAAAGCAAGCAAGGAGGGGAGGAACGGTTCAGCATGGCGCGGAAAGCAAGCAAGGAGGGGAGGAACGGTTCAGCATGGCGCGGAAAGCAAGCAAGGAGGGGAGGAACGGTTCAGCATGGCGCGGAAAGCAAGCAAGGAGGGGAGGAACGGTTCAGCATGGCGCGGAAAGCAAGCAAGGAGGGGAGGAACGGTTCAGCATGGCGCGAAAAGCAAGCAAGGAGGGGAGGAACGGTTCAGCATGGCGCGGAACAACTCACTCCAGAAGAATCTTCCGTTCTTTCGGAGTCAGCTTCTTCACAAGGCACTTCATGGCATGCAGCCATATGCCCTGCTCCCAGATGTGCATGATGTCCGGGGGGACAGCGAGGTACGTGTTGCCCCAGAGAGTCTTTGCGAATTCCCAGTCTCACAAAAGGCTCTGCGTTGTGGGTCAAGGACACAGAGTCACTATGGCGGGTCGGGGTAATAAACACAAACAGCTGGCTGCGGATTGGAGTAGGTTCTCATGCACACTAGCCAGTGCAGTATATGGTGTGGATGGAGGGAAACCAGATGAGATGCGCGGCAATGCATGCGGAACAAGCTAGGCAAGGGTTACCTTCACAAAGTGAGTAGAGGTCTTCTTCTTCACCGCCTTCAGCTTCTTCTTGGTCTTTGCTGATGCCATCTCCTTGTACGCATCCTTCTGACTCTTGACAGTTCTGAGGACAATAGTGTCTTCCTGCTCATCCAGGCACTCCTTATCGGGGGGCATTTGAGTCAACTCAAACGTCATCGCATCGAGGTGCTCCTTATCAGCCAAGCACAACGAGCACGGATGGAGCGAGTTGCATGCCATTGTACAAGTGACCTTAGAAGACTCCGGGTGATCTGTCACCCATGAATATAGAAGCGTGAATGCTCTATATTGCACACCGGCAATGTCTTCCACCATCACCCCGCCCCTGCACAGCCGCCAAGGATGAAGGGGGAAACAGGGAGGTAGAGGGGGGATGATGGGATAACACGTCGGAGATGGGAGTAACGGAGTGAGCATGGGCGGCCCTAAGCAAGCAGATGAAGAACGGTTAGGAAGATGGGGACAGCAAGCAGGGAAGGCATTAACGGCATGAGATGGTGGCAAAGCAAAGTTATGACTGAATACAGCGTTGTGGCACGCATGCGAAGGAGGACCGGATGTGAACGAGGGTCAACAAAGGGAGCGGAGAGGGTATGCCTCAGGGAAAGAATATCAGAAGGGTAGTGGGGTGGAAGCGTGACGGAGTGGTTGGTTTGACCAAACCAGAAGGCTAATGATGGAAACAGCGGGGTGGGAGGATTATGAATAGGGATGAGGCAGAATACGTAGTACGATGACGGAGATTACTAGGGATGCGCGCCTTTGGGTGACAGTAGTGTTGACTCACCCTTTCAGATGTGAAGCCGCCTTTAAATCTTTAATCATGATCTCTGCAGCGCGCTGGAACACTCAAACCTTTTCTTCTGGCGAGAGGTCAGCTGGGATATTAGGCAGAAGCCCGAGAATCTCAGTGCCTCCTTCGAGCCACCTAGCCCATTCCGGAATGTTCCCAAAGGACAAAAGAAATGGGTGGGCGGATTGGCGCCCGTTATGTGATAGATTGGTCTGGTCCGAGAACAGAATGAGCGCTATAACTATGCCATACTTCCGCACCCTCTCCTGCCACAGTGAATGAGAAAGTGATGGAAATCTGAATTGGACCCTATGTTTCGACGGTCTTGTCAAACGCGACATGAGCTGGAACCAAACTTACCCAAGCCTCCAGCATCCAGTCCGTGTTTGCAGGGGTACTGTAGCGGCGAACCCCATCAACCTTCCACTCTTGAGGCATGATGGTGAATCCCTTGACAGCTGACATTTTCTTGAACATGGCCTGAAGGAGCTGATGGTGATAATGACGGAAACAAAGATGTAAAACAGACGTGAAGAAACGATGGTTCCCTTTGGTCCGATGGTTTGATCGTCATCACTAAACCCCCACCTCCACTTTAAAGAACGTGACACCGCACCTGGGAGACACTCACTTTTATAGCATATCGGCGTTTGAAAGTGAGAAACCCAATCTTGTGATCCACTGGGATCTCCTCGACGATCCATTCGTTCGCCTCTCCAACGTCAAAGGTGTTCTCGTACTTCTCCAGGTCCTGGTAGCTGTTCCAATCGTCCAGCTGCTTTGGATCTAATTTTGGATGTCTAACTAACTGTATCGTGTCGTTTATCGCCCCGTTGGTAAGGCCGTGAGACCGTGCCAAAATGCATATTTCCGCCTTAACATCGAGAATTTCCTCTGTAGGAGCTTCTTCCCCCACGAGTGTGGTGCTACACGTATGGACCGCATCAGGAACTCGCTCTGCCGGCTGCTGGTGCTGCTCTACTGCGTTCGGAAGTGCTGCTAAGGGAATCGAATGCTTTGGCGCGGGAAGGGTGGCTCTTCCTAACGGGACAAAGGTATACTGCTTCTCAACGTCACGACCCAGCTTCTTTCGTTTAGCAGCCTCTTGAGCCTTGCGTCTTTGGGCTCGCTTACAGCCGTCATGGTTAGCTTGATGGCTACGTACTGTTTGATAGCAGTACACGCGCTTATTGCAAAACTCGCAACCCTGACCCTCCATCGAGCAGATCTGTCCGTAGGACTGAAATGGTGTTTGGCACACCAGCTTGAGATGTGAGTGGTAACACTGCACCGTGGTGAGATAGTAAACTATCGTATGGACGATAGTTTACCGAAAGGCGAGGGAAGGATTTGGCGCGAACACGAATTGGCGATCTGAGCCTGAACATATGTTTCCGGTGACCCTGATTGGCCATTGGTCATCGAGTGTCAGTAGTTGGTTTGCAATTGGTTAGGGTTTGTGATGTACTGCTCGAAGTGCTAGGTCACACTGTTTATTGGTGCGCGACAACCGCGCAGATGGGCGAGAACGCCATGCGACTCATACTCAGCATCTCCCGGTGTAACTGTTTTCGCGTACAAAAACTGCTTTCTTGTCGCAGCAACCTGACGAGGTTTTGTACCCAACTGGAAACAAGTTGGCGAAGGTCGTTTCCGCTTGCGACATGGACCTGACATCCTTTTTGGGGTACACGCCAATTGTGTGTCAGAAAAATACAAGCCGCACCAATGCCATTGGAGCAGGGAATCCTGTCAGACCGCCCAACACTGGACACCAAATAGACAAGATATCAAGAGCAGGCTATTCGTTGACGACGAATCGGAGCAGGAATTTTAGCACAAAGTTGACCAACGAAGGGCAAGGGCGTGTGGGTCCTTTCCCCAGGAGGAACTACAGTATCTGCTTCGACTTTCCGTTGAGCTGGGTGGGCAAGGAATTTCGACCCTTACCTAAGGCAAGATCCTGCTCAAGCTAAGTTTGCGTACTCAAGATATGGAGGAGAAGGGCATACCCAAGTTAGCGCGATGTAGTTTCCGGCACATGCGCATGCCATCCCTGTTTGGGGGATCTCTTGAAATCAAACCCTCATATTACCGCACGCTGGAAAACGAGCAGTGGATCAGTGGCACGGTTATCGAGTGGCTCTCATCGTGAGTGCCTCTGTGTTGAACACAGAGCAAACTGATTTGTTGACCCTTGATTTTAGTTTCTCACGAGCTTCACCGACTTTGTATATTTTCATGTCGATCCTGCAGTATGTTACACTACGAGTACGGATATGACAATGCGTCGTGGCTTTGCACATCGCCTTATTTCTGGACACTCGTAGCACGCCCGGGGTCGAAGAGGATCACTAGGCAGGCCTATGGACATGACATTTTGTCGTTTAAGCACGTTCTTGTTCCGATTAACAAGGAGTAAGTAGTCGGGTCTTTTTATTCGTGTGTGGAACGTACCCATGTGCTGCAAACTAACGACATTGGAGTCTCGATAACATTGCAGTGCGCACTGGAGCCTTGCTGTCATCGAAATTAACCACGCTCCGGGATCCCTTATCCTGATCAAGTGTGTCCTGTGGCATGCGGACTCATGCAAATCACGTCGACATTGATGGACCTTTGAGAAAGTGAGATATGTGCTTCGTATGAAACATGATTCTTGCTGACGAGTACTAACGACCCGTACGCTCAATGCGCAGATGTTTGATGCGACAGGTCATGAAGCGCTACGCATGGATCACGGAGACTGAAGCAAAATCGTGGACAGCAGAGATTCCGTTAAAAGCCATCGAGGTATGCGCGCTGGATGCGCGGATGCGTACGGGGGTGGGAAGGGTAGGATGCGCATGAGTGCAATGGGGATGCGCCGATGAGAAGGGGAGTGAGATGAGTGGGCTGAGCATGAGTGCGATGGGGATGCGCGGATGAGAAGGGGGGTGAGAGGAGTGGGCTGCGCATGAGTGCGGTGGGGATGCGCGGATGAGAAGGGGGGTGAGAGGAGTGGGCTGCGCATGAGTGCGGGGGGGATGCGCGGATGAGAAAGGGAGTGAGAGGAGTGGGCTGCACATGAGTGCGGTGGGGATGCGGGATGAGAAGGGGAGTGAGAGGAGTGGGATGCGCATGAGTGTGGTGGGGATGCGCGGATGAGAAGAGGAGTGTGAGGAGTGGGCTGCGCATTAGTGCGGTAGGGATGCGCGGATGAGAAGGGGAGTGAGAGGAGTGGGATGCGCATGAGTGTGGTGGGAATGCGTGGATAAGAAGGGGAGTGTGAGGAGTGGGCTGCGCATGAGTGCGGTGGGGATGCGCGGATGAGAAGGGGAGTGTGAGGAGTGGGCTGCGCATGAGTGCGGTGGGGATGCGGGGATGAGAAGGGGAGTGAGAGGAGTGGGCTGCGCATGAGTGCGGTGGGGATGCGCGGATGAGAAAGGGAGTGAGAGGAGTGGGCTGCGCATGAGTGCGGTGGGGATGCGCGGATGAGAAGGGGGGTGAGAGGAGTGGGCTGCGCATGAGTGCGGTGGGGATGCTGTCAGTAGAGCTACACTGTGAGATCCCCGATCGATCCTAGGGGGGGTTACAGGCGCATTTACCTGGGGGGTTATGGGCGCACTGACCCGCTACTGAAACAAGCCCTTTTATCCCAATGGTTTAGTGGTTGGGATTCTGACATGGTATCAGAGCGGTCTCGGGTTCGAATCCCGGTGCATGCACATGTTGGCCATTGCCACTATGCTCAGTCCTGGGCCTCCCAGTGTGGGGGGGTGTTAGTAGAGCTACACTGTGAGATCCCCGATTGATCCTAGGGGGGGTTACAGGCGCATTTACCTGGGGGATTATGGACGCACTGACCCGCTACTGAAACAAGCCCTTTTATCCCAATGGTCTGGTGGTTGGGATTCTGACAGATGCGCGAATGAGAAAGGGAATGAGAGGAGTGGGCTGCGCATGAGTGCGGTGGGGATGCGGGATGAGAAGGGGAGTGAGAGGAGTGGGATGCGCATGAGTGTGGTGGGGATGCGCGGATGAGAAGGGGAGTGTGAGGAGTGGGCTGCGCATGAGTGCGGTGGGGATGCGCGGATGAGAAGGGGAGTGAGAGGAGTGGGCTGCGCATGAGTGCGGTGGGGATGCGCGGATGAGAAGGGGAGTGAGAGGAGTGGGCTGCGCATGAGTGCGGTGGGGATGCGCGGATGAGAAGGGGAGTGTGAGGAGTGGGCTGCGCATGAGTGCGGTGGGGATGCGCGGATGAGAAGGGGAGTGAGAGGAGTGGGCTGCGCATGAGTGCGGTGGGGATGCGCGGATGAGAAGGGGGGTGAGAGGAGTGGGCTGCGCATGAGTGCGGTGGGGATGCGCGGATGAGAAGGGGAGTGTGAGGAGTGGGCTGCGCATGAGTGCGGTGGGGATGCGCGGATGAGAAGGGGAGTGAGAGGAGTGGGCTGCGCATGAGTGCGGTGGGGATGCGCGGATGAGAAGGGGAGTGAGAGGAGTGGGCTGCGCATGAGTGCGGTGGGGATGCGCGGATGAGAAGGGGAGTGTGAGGAGTGGGCTGCGCATGAGTGCGGTGGGGATGCGCGGATGAGAAGGGGAGTGAGAGGAGTGGGCTGCGCATGAGTGCGGTGGGGATGCGCGGATGAGAAGGGGGGTGAGAGGAGTGGGCTGCGCATGAGTGCGGTGGGGATGCGCGGATGAGAAGGGGAGTGTGAGGAGTGGGCTGCGCATGAGTGCGGTGGGGATGCGCGGATGAGAAGGGGAGTGTGAGGAGTGAGGTGCGCATGTACAACATTTTTCTGCCTGAATTCGAATATTACACCTAATCCCAACACTATCACCTTCTCGGGCCATTTGCATGTGCGACAGCAAGACAACGATAATGACTGCGGTGTTTATGTAATGCGAGTCATTCATACTCTCGTCGAATCCGAATTCTGCAGTCTGAATGCGTGCAACTTGGTCGGGACGCCAAGACAGTGGAGGCGGCAACATCGTAAATATTTGGCTAAGTGGTCGTGTTTCTATGATAGTGCATGCGCCTCTATTCAGGCTGTGTGATGCTCTTAGCCACCTTCGGTGTTGGATAGGGGCTGCATAATCTAGCACTAGACATGAGATTAGTTGAGTATAATGACAGATGGCCTAGTTATTATGCTATCCTGAAAGGTGTGTGTCACGTCATGGTGCTGAGGACCTGGAGTGGAGTGGGCAGTATGGAGTGGTGTCCCACCGAACCATGCATGCATGCAATGAATGGATGGCTGAAGGTGGGTTGGACAGCAGCATGCCTTCAAGAGGCACGGCATACAAAAACGGTGTGTGGTTATACGGTACTAGAACATGTCAACACACAGCGTGCCGCATGTGACTCGTAAGGTTGCACAACAGACACAACGCTGCTTCTCTATCCTCCTTTGCTGAATGCATAGTACCCCTACAATCAAAAAACACTCTGCTGATCCCTTCCAACCAGGCTGAATATGGGATGTTGCATGCCAGAGCAAGACTTGATTTGAATCGTGCTTACACTTAGCAGCCATTTGGTGTATGTGAAACTCCAGTCCCCTGGTATCTTGGTGATGTTGCATATGACAATATACCACGGTATCACCCTTCTCACTGTTCATGGCACTTTCATAAAGGCGGCCTCTGTGACACATTACGACGGTTTTTGGAGTTTGAATTCTTGGTAGGGTTCTTTCTGTGGTTGAGGGTTATCCCTAACTGCGTGACTTGTATGTTAGTCCAGATCCAATCACAAGTACCTGGAGTTTGGTAGAAAAACAAACCAGATGATGTGTTAGAATGATATTTGGGTTGTTATACAGCGCACTTGTAACGCCCATCCTTGTTTTCGATATTGCAACGATGGTTCAAGGGCAACAGAACAGAGTCGTTCTCGAAGCGCGATGAGTTGGACTAGGCAAGGATCGTCCTACGCGTGTATTCGAATTTCGCGCTGCCTGTTTGCTAATGTGGCATTGATTTTTTGTGACATTGATTTTTTTGCGGCTAGTCTAGCTCTGATGTTGACATTCACGCGATCGAAAATACTTAGTAGTATCGCGCTTTTAGTACAATGCAGTTATAGGATTGCTGGCGAAACGACGTTCCAGCCCAACAAGTCTCCTACTAAGACCAGGCTTGTGAACACTCACATACTGCCAGCACGTACCTTGCAACTTCTAGGGCAGCTGGGCTGCTACGATCCCAGAACTGGTGCAGGAGCTGAAGAAGGCGCGGAACTCCAGCACGACGTGACTTCATGGGAGGTTTTCGTTAAAGGAACATGCTGTGCCATCTCTCGTGGCGGTAGTTGAGACCACGAAACCCTAAGGCGAAGAGCACCAAGAACGTCACGCTTGTACCAGTTGAGGTTCTCCTCACGATACCCTCCTACGATAGGCATTTCCAAATGTTGCCTCACTGTGAGTTGCTGCCATAACGCATTGCTGTTAGCAGTAGGCACTTCTAACCTTAGCGCGTTGCAATTACTCGTCGTAGGCACGTCCAGCTATGGCGCAGTCGTAATGCTCTCTAAGGGCGCGTCCAGCAATGGCGCGCTCCTGTTCTCGCTTGCAAGACCTTCTTGGGCGCGTTCCGCGGGCACGTACTGGGATTTCGCGTTGCGTTTCTCGTAGGCACGTCTAGCATGCGCGGTGGGATTCCTTGCACCTCGAATACCTATTTAAGCAAGCTCTGATCCATCGAAATGCACTCCTCATCTTGCAATCATTCACTGGACTGGTCTAGCGGCAATAATGGCGGACATCTGCGATCTCGATCAACATGCCGATGCTACTGCGGTGGTAGTAGGCACTGGAGCTTTACAGCCCCTGGAAGGCGCCAGAACAGGTGCGGAACAGAGGCTTCATGACGAGATGACACCTCACAAAGCTGCTCCGTTAGTTGTTCAGTATCGGAGGAAGAACAAATCTTCTGCACGCGCTGCCGAGGAGTCAGGGGACTCATCATCGGATAGTGACCAGTCTGGTGACGAGCCTTACGCTGGCCGAATTAGTCGCGACGGTTCAAGCGAGCCGCGGAACGGTCCTAAGGTCAAGCTGCTGGACCAATTCAAACCTGCTAAAGAGAGGAAAGGTAAGCAAGAGCCTTTTAGCTCCGCATAGCGTCTTTCTATGTCTGTTTCAGAGTTGCTCATTGATATCGTGGTTGATTTCGCCACCAATAGAGGTGCTCCACTCGTCACCACTGATCTTGTCGCCCTTTCTTTATGTGTTGTAGCTAAACGCGGTGCCAAGAAAGGGAAAAGAGGGAAACAACAGGCGACCGGGGCAACACGACAGCATGAAGCTGTAGACGACGAGGATCACTTGCAAGTGAAAGGGCATGAGCGTGACGGCGAGCGGGGCGGCGAGCGTGACAGCGATCGTGACAGCGAGCGTGACGGCGATCGTGACGGAGAGCGTTACAGCAAGCGTGACGGCGATCGTGACGGCGAGCGTTACAGCAAGCGTGGCGGCGATCGTGACGGCGAGCGTTACAGCAAGCGTGACGGCGATCGTGACGGCGAGCGTTACAGCAAGCGTGACGGCGATCGTGACGGCGAGCGTTACAGCAAGCGTGACGGCGAGTGTTGCGGCAGGGTTGGCGAGGGTGAGGGTGATCATGAGGGCGAGCTTGAAGTGAAGCGTGACGCATCCCCTCCTACTGCAGCAGGTGCTCGACAGGATGGTGCAGAGAATGTTCCTGGGCATGGGGGGGGTGGGAGGGAGAGCCGTGGCGGGGAGTTGGAGGATCAGAGGGGGGTGTCAGGGAGGGTGAAGTCACGGCGCCGAAGGGCTGGAAAGAAAGCCCCTGTCAAGGAGGAATCTTCCGATGACAATGAAAGCTCTGAGGAGGAGTCGGGGAGCTCCTCTGGGAGCGAGGAGAAGTACGACGATGAGGAGGACGAAAGTGAGGATGCGGAATCAGAGGCAGAGAGTGAGGAGGAAGACAGGAGGAAAGGCAAGGCTCGGGGTGGACGCAGAAACGGATCTAGCGGAAAGCGTTGTCGCGCTAGGAAGGAAAAGAAAGGGCGTAAGAGGGGGAGGCCCCAAGAACATGCACCAGCCAAGCGCTCAGAACGTGGGGAAACCCGAGTGGGTAAGGAGCGGCGTACTTTGAATGCCGATCTCGGGTTCTACAACGACATGAAGGTTTTGGGGAAAACAGTAGATGCTACAGCGGAGAACCGACGGGAAAGCATTCGCAAGAAATGGGGGGCTTCAGACGACCCCTATGCGGCACTCGCTTCAGATTCCTCGTTGGGAAGGAATGCCCAGCCGGTTCGTGGGCGGAGTGGCATCAAAGTTGAAGTCCAGCGTGTTGCTGACAACCGTAAGCATGGAGGAAGTGACGATGAGGAGTGGGGCATTGGGCAGGGTTTTGAGCGGAGTAGTGGCGTGCAGGTTGGACTCCATGGCGCAGCTGACGGTGGCAACCCTGGTGCTGGAGGTCAGCCAGGCGACGGTCGACCTAGTTGTGAGGCTTTTGGTAAAACAGATATTGGGCCTGAAGTCGCGGGAGAATCCGCAAGGTGCAAGCAAGAGGGTGCGGCAGTTGTATTCCCTTTCAGTAGTGCTGGTGTATCACCCAACGCGTCCATGCAGCAATTGTTTCAGGCATTGCAGGAAGCGAATAGGCAGATTGCGGAGCTGAAGGCAGCACCAAGGCCCCTGGGAAATTCTGCTGGAGTAGGAATGCCAGTTCCACCTCTGCAGGCGATATCCAGCGAGCTACCCTCCCAGGAACCTGAGCCCGTGTGTGTGGCGGAGATTGCTGTACAAGGACCGCCCATCGCTAGGAGACATGGGATGCCATCTGCCACGAATTTGAGGGTCAGTTGCCCTTCCCCAACCCGTAAATCTGTTTCCCTGCATGCCTTGCTTCGCATCCATCTCTGTTTGCCCCGTTCAAAGCATGCTGTGCTCCCCAAGCATCTTAATTTGCACCTTCCCTGCATGCCTTGCATTGCATCCATCTCTGTTTGCCTCATTCAAAGCATGCCCTGCTCCCGTTGCATCCTAATCTGCACCTTCCCTGCATGCCTTGCTTCGCATCCATCTCTGTTTGCCCTGTTCAAAGCATGCCGTGCTCCCCAAGCATCCTAATTTGCACCTTCCCTGCATGCCTTGCATTGCATCCATCTCTGTTTGCCCCATTCAAAGCATGCCCTGCTCCCCATGCTTCCCAATTTGCACCTTCCTTGCATGCCTTGGATTGCATTCATCTCTGTTTGCCTCATTCAAAGCATGCCCTGCTCCCCATGCATCCTAACCTGCACCTTTCCTGCATGCCTTGCAGTGCAGTCATCTTTGCTTGCCCCATTCAAATCATGCCGTGCTCGCCATGCATCCCAATTTGCACCTTTCCTGCATGCCTTGCAGTGCAGTCATCTCTGTTTGCCCCATTCAAAGCATGCCCTGCTCCCCATGCTTCTCAATGTGCACCTTCCCTGCATGCCTTGCATTGCATTCATCTCTGTTTGCACCATTCAAAGCTTGCCCTCCTCCCCATGCTTCCTAATTTGCTCCTTCCCTGCATGCCATGTTCCATGTTTTCTTTTCCGTTGAATACTTCATTAGCTCTACATCGAGGATACCAGGAATCGCATGTGCATGGAAGTTGACGACAACGAAATCAATTTCTACCCATCTTTTGAGAAGAGGATCTTGGTCTTGCACGCGGTCATATCAGAGAACTACATAGTGTCTTTGATTCAGTTAAAAGAGGTCATGCAGGACCAGAAACGCATTGAAACTTTCAAGCGTGTTTGGACGCAATGGAAGA